GACGTCATTATGCACGAGGGGGTCGAAATTGGTCTTCAGGGGATTTTTTTTGCGTCCAACAAATGGAGGTTCCCTGTCGTCGATCTTGACACTGCTAGGAGAACATTGTTAATCGCTTTCAAATAATTATCGTCTTGGTCAAAAACTTATAGAGGTTGTGGGGACAACTTGTTCACGATGATCTTGTCGCCATGTTTGATAACCCCCACCCAGTAACACAAAGTTTTTTCTCTCTTACTTACCTTATGTACGTTGTCAGTGCACCACGTTAACCGCCCGCTCTCCAACATTCTCGCAAACATTTCAACAACATTGTTTGTAGCGATGTGGAGAAAAACCACGATTTTTTTGCCTTCCATTAACCACTTGTGGTTTTACGATAAGCGATTAATGGAAGGCCAAAAATTCGGCGAAATTTGGGCAACTTTTCACCGAAACTATCATATTTCCCCGAATTTTTACTTTTTTCTTGTTTTTTCTTTGTACTTGATATATATGTGTTATAGGGTATATTCGTATTCAGTTTCGTCGTATTTGGACTAATAACGAAAAAGTTACAAAAAACGTCGGACTTGAAGAAAATTTTGGCAACCTCTGAAAGCTACTCCGAGTAGGATTTTGTAGTGTTCTTAAGTTTTTTTTTTTTTTTTTTTTTTTGCCTGTTTTTTTTTTGCCTTTTTTTTTTTTTTGCCTGTTGCAGTGGAACTTTTGACCCAATATGTCTTTCGCTCTTTTGTACTGTTATTTCCTCATAGCATCTATATTATTCATGCTATACTGTTTTCTTTCCCCTAGCAGAAACGTAAGCAAAATTTGTAGTATTATCATTTTTTCAGCATTGCTGCTACGAGACGCTTCCGGCCAGACTGACTCTAAACAGGAGTCGCATAATGAGATCGCACTTGCGTTGGAATCGTGCGGTGGACAGTTCCTCTAAAGAATAGTCGGTGGCAATGAACCTTGTACCACTATAGCTAACTTGCCGTAACGACGCACTTGAAGAGGATTGTTTTCTAGACGAGTAATCAGTGGTCACCAACTTCTCACTCTCGTCATCAGACGTTGCGAAAGATGCAACCATCGGCACGCAACAGTCGTCTGCTGAAGTTGTGAAGTGCACCTCGTCAGAAACGTGAAACTCATTTCGGGAGGCAATTGGTTTTTTGCCTGCGAACGACATCGCCAAGCCACAGGGAAACGGATGCAACTCCGAACGCTCTCACGAAAATCGAGACTTCGTTTTCTGTGGAACACATCATGGACTGTTGGAATGACGAATTGTCGGAAAAACTCATTATGGCCAACTCAAGGTCTTCTAAGTGGAAATGCAAGTCGATGGCCTGTTTGTTTTCCACAGCCTAGTTCATGTGGCCGTTCGTTGAACCCTCCTTTGCGTCGTCATGTAGCCGTTGATGTCGTGGAATGGGCTCCGTTAGAAAAGTCAAACAAATTCGACAACAAGCAGTGAACAGGCAATTTGAATTTGTCTCTACAACCTGCAAAATAGTGGAGTGAATGGTAAGCATGAATCATGAGAAGATGCGTGTTTGACCCCCCCCCCAAATCCCTGATGCGGTATTTCAACATAGCGAGCCTGTGTGCTTGTGACGCAATCCTGTACAGTCGATTTGCCGCAAATAAAAGTCGTGGATTTTCTGTTGGGTGACACGAATGATCTGACAACCCTCGGCATGCGGCGTGCGCCGACATGCGAACTTGCGCGATATCGAAACCCTTTGATTGCATTGACTTTATGTGTGGAAGGGCATCTAAACATTTCCTGCCTCGACTCTGGCGACAAGAATCGCATCTGCTGCAGCAGTCGACAATGGCAGATAAGAGCTAAGCGTGCCAACAAATTAGGTCGGGCGACCTTCGCGCTTGTGACATGACGGCCCAGTTAAGGTCGGACCACCTTCTGCCTTTTAGAATTTTTATAGCTGGACGTTAAAGTCCATAACAACTATCAAAGTGATACCCCTTGACCTGTTTACAGACCTCGAATGATAAAACCCGACTTCGGTTGTAAGGGGCGCCAACTGCCACAAAGGGCCCAGCCCCGCCTACCACTTTTCCCTGCAGGGTGCAGAAGAGGGTAGGGCTTGCAACCACCGTGGCGGTTGTCTATCGTCGAGAGGTTAGTCCTTCAATACGCGTGTCATCATCATCATCATCATGCCCTCCCTTGTCTTTCACCCACGTCTCCCTCTTTACACCCAAAGACCAATCATGTGCCCTGTAATACATCCAAGCTCCATCCATCTATAGAGGTTGGGCTATGGCGCTGCCCTCGGCAACACCCTTCCCTTACACGACCACACGTGCGTATCACCTTGTCTTAGCGCAAGCAGCAGCCCGCGAGTCTCTGCTCCTGCGGCACTGCCATTAGCTTGCAAGTGCCTGAATGTCCCTCCAGGTCGCGAGCTCTTTCCTATATGGAAAGTGTACGCCCGCCCTACGACCTGGGTGGGCTAAGCCTCCACCCAGAAGCTTCCGGTAGGCCCCAAGTGGTTGGGCCTCTGCTGCAACTGCCGAGCCTCGTTCGGTTGTGCCTCCCAACTGCCTGTGTATGATGCTGCCATTCTTTCTGAGGGCCTGCATCTCAGAAAAGGCCCAGAAGGCCGTGGAAAACATTTGCAGCTCGGGTCTTGGGTTCCCTCAACCAACTGACGCGACATAACTACATGAACCCCAAATAAAAAAATTGACGGGATAATCGGTAGAAAGCGCCCACGCCGAAACCTTTTCGGTTTTGGGCACCCGAAACTCGGTCGTTTGGTACTACAGGCCCAATGACGTCCATGTGAAGTACTATAGGCCCACGCGTTTCTCCAAGAACCCTACCGGATCATGAGTCTGGCGCATAACAGCGCTAGATTCATTTTCATGTAAAAGAGGCCGAAGGTGGTACCGTTGAAGTCTCGAATGAGGCCCACGTATGGGATTTTGACAAAGAAGGGCCCTATCGGTTCATAAAACTTGCGCAAAAACAACGCTAAATTCTTGAACCGGTAACAACAGGCCCTGTGAGATGTGGCCACGGCGCGAAGGCGCCTTTCACCAAGGCTGGAGGCCAAGTCAGATGTGGCAACGGTGCGAATGCGTCTTTCACTAACGTTGAATAACACGTTATTTGTTAAAATATGACATTATACTGTGTCCTTTTTCTAATAAATTAATTTTTGGCTGCAGCCTAAGCAACGTAGGCATGTCCATCCAGGGGTTAACCACATGCAGAAGCGTGCTGAGATCCATACTTGTGAAACTTCATAAATGAAATCCCAAATGCGGAAGTGTGTAAGGATCCTTACTTGTTGAACTTCAAAAACATGTTGGTGATCCTGTGCGGAAGTGTGTTGGGATCCATACTAGTCAAACTTCATAAACGAACAACAATTGGCACGCCAAAGGGAACCCTGTGCGGAAGTGTGCCCTGATCCTTACTTGTCAAACTTCAATTTCATAAATGTGATGAAAGATACAGTAACTATATTGTGAYACYGTCCTCTTTCTTACGAATTCATTTTTGACTGCAGTGTTTGTACATGGGCATGCCCGCCCAGTCGCCCCAAATGCGAAAGTTTGCTGACATCCRTAGTTGTTGAACTTTTGTAAACAAAATTAGCAATGTAATTAGATTGAATTGGAGAGTATAATTCTTTCGGTTATCCCAAAGGCACACATGCAGGTTCATCGTCTTGCTGAAGACGGTTGTTTAGATGTATGATAAGATCCGGACTTGTTTTTAGAAGACTTGTGACCCTAGCAGATTGGAACAGGAGTGTGCCGAGATCCATACTTGTTAAACTGAAAGCTTACGTATGTGATGAGCAAGGTGTCATGATTGAACTGTTGTTGGTTAACACATCAAATTTTCGTTGACTACGTTATCCCTAAGTGCGAATCTCTTCAACATCCAAACAATCGTCTCGGGTGAGACGACGGGTGTGCTTGCATAAGTCCGAATCTCTTTAACATCCAAACAATCGTCTCGGGTGAGACGATGGGTGTGTTAGCATAAATTCCGCATACAGGCACGCTCATCATCTCGCCCGACACGAGGGCACTGAGATTCATACTTGTTTAAAGTTGTGATGGGCAAGGTGTATTTCAATAACCACTTAATTTTGATGTTCTATGAACAAGTGTAGAACTTTAAATTGTGCTCCATCACGATGAACATCCGCATCTTAAATGGTCATGCAAAGAAGGTTTGGACATCCACTGACCAATTTCACATAAGATGAGATTTCTCATTCATCCACCAACCAGTTTCACAATCATGTTTACACTTCCAGTTCAATAGAATTCGAAACATGGAACACAATACTTCAACTTGAACAAAATTCGAAACATGGAACATTACGTGACATAGATTACAAAGCCCATACATGACGCAGGACATGCATTGAGCTTGCCGTAGATAACGCGAACTCGGAACGATAAAAGAAAGCAATGCCTCTGGCAGAAGGACAGTTGAATAATGTATCGATTTCCGAAATTTAACGATCAACGAATGAAACACCTAAAAAAAAAGTTTCAAAGTCAATCAAATCCATCAAAGACAACGATGTTCTAAGACACATGATGCTAATTGTCGTCTAAGAAGCGGAATATCTTTACAAGAGAACCGGAAAGGCGGTCGATCTCCACGTTGCAACAACGTTGCATACATCAAGATGAACACACCACAACTTGCTCCATCCACTTGTCTCGGAACTCCATCCACCACAACATTTCCCATTATGGACTTTCAATTCCTACCCGACCGCCTATGTGATGTTTGCGGTTCCAAATACTGCACAATCAACCCGAAAACAGTAAGGTAAAAACTAGAATCAGCTACAATGCTAGGAAAAGAATCAAAAATTTCGAGAACATCATCTCTCATGTTGACGGAAACGAGGATCCAGTGATCATCATCTTTGTGGACAGGAACGAAGATAATATCGTAACGAAGCAAATCTACATTTTTAGCCCACCTCTGCACCCCACTGTGGCCTTGAAGTCGCTGTTTACTGAAGAAGAACGAATTAAAGCTGAAGACTTGAAGGCCTGAAGAGATGTCACGTGACCCACATGCGGTCGACCCCAACAACGCCATATAGAAATTGACCACCTCATCATTCACCCTGCCGTTGACATGCAAGAGGGTGAGGAAATCTTTTGCTGCAATCCGAAATTGACCATCGCCCAGTATAGAGAGAATAGTGTTAGACGGCGCCGAGCCTCGTACAATGTCGTCCACAACCCGCAAGCTCAGAGGCGCAATCGTTGCAGCGAAACTTTTCCCGCGTGCTGCACTTGTTGCCCGCACTAACCAACATCGAGCAAAGGACACGTGGGGTAGTGAGAAACGGAGTTCTAAACATTGTCCCCCGGTGCATGACGCGTTGCTAAGTACTTCTCATACATGGCCTAACCCCTACTTACAGATCGTGGATATGTCCCTTTCTCTGGGGCAAGAAGGGAAAGACATTCCTCAATGGCAACGGTGTACTCCTTCTTCCCGATCTCGACATCAACCTCTGATGCCTTTAACATATCCTTGTGTTTTTTACTCAACCCGGGGACTTTCTGCAATATGTGCTCTGGATATTTGGAGGACCTCCGTGTTCGAGACGACACCACCCCTGTACAATAGAAGAAAGACAAAACGGAAAATAAGAACCATACATTCGTAAAGACGCAACAGTCAAGYAGGACCTCTCCGACCACAGGACCCTGATCTCGCGTGGTCATGTGCACCCAGATGCGGTTGTGCGACTGAAAAATTAAACGACTGCAACATTCGAGCTTATCACCCCTGCACTTTGCAATGGAAAACCACCACAACTCATAGAAGCCGGAGGCCAGCAATCCCCGAAGTTCGGACTGCGGCGGACTTTTCAACACACCAGCCCCACTGAGACTGACCACATCACGCATCGACAAAGGAAGTTCGGATCCCGGTGGACTAAAACTGACACTATTCCTGAGAAGGGAAAACTGTCAGTCCATCTACTTGGCCACTTTCTTAGCACCTTGGCCACTTCCTCAGTCGGGGAAGATCCTTCCTTGGATGGAGTGTAAGGTTTTGGACGAAGTTTTCGCCGCCCTCGACTAGCAACCCGGCCGAGTCACAGATAGGCCGACGAGCTGGAGTAGGAAGGGCTGCTGGCTGTAGCATGCCGGCATCCGGAACTTCCCGTATGTACAGACAGTGTGGATAGTCGTCGTGTGTATAGCGCGGACTGTAATCCGGCGACATCCGGATGCGCAGACGTTCTTCACGGTTTACTTGTCTGTTTCTCTCTCCGCTCCTTTGATGATGAATTTGGCGCTGGCAAAGCGAGCACGAGGAGAGCTTGACCGCCGAACCTCGATTTTTTTGGGGGCGTCACGTGTTGTCCTCCACCGAACTCACCTTCCCCTTCGGCGGCAAGGGTGGCCGACAGCACCAGAGACTTCGGCGGCGACGAAGCGAGGGCAGCTGCCACGGAAGATGCGACGTTGGCAGTTGCGTACGGACGGGCAGACACGTTGTGGTCGCCGAGGATACCGTCGATAACTTCGTGGATGCTTATACGTCGACTTTTTTCAAACGGGCTGATAGCGACGGAAGCCTCGTCGAACGGGTGTTGCAAGTCGACAACAGACGTTAGTGGCCGGACCGCAGAATCTTCAGGCTCTGCGGAAAGGCTGCTAACCACTTGTGTCTCCATCTCTATTGTCGTGGCATCGTCGTCGACATCATCCTCGTGATGCTCTCCATACAGTTGTCCGAACTCGTCAGACGACTCTCCAGATCCGGCATCGTCCTCACTGTGTTCCACTTTGTCTTCTCCATACCCGACACCCTCCCTTCCTTCAAACAAATCAATTAGCTCCGTTTCTCCCGCTTCCTCCCCTTCCACCTCTTCTTCCCCTTCTTCCTCCCCTTCTTGCGCTCCCTTTTGTTCCTCCATTTTCTCCCCTACTTCCCTCCCACGAAACTCGTCCCCTTCCGCGGTACCCATGCTGAATCTCGAGGACCACCCTTCAGTCCCCGTGCACGCTGCCCCTCTCAACGGCACGACAATCCCTGGCCGACAAACCCCGCCCGAAGAAGTTCGGATCTCGGCGGACTTCGTGGTCTCCGTGTCGCCGGACCCTGCACTTGCAGCCTCTCGCTGCAATCCTTGCGGCCGTCGCTCCCGCTCAGGCGAGACCTTTCCGACGTCTCCGTCCCGCACCGCAATGCTGCGAATTTCTCGATCCTTGCTTGGATCCCCCGACCCCGAGCAGCTTCGCATTCCGGACCGCTCTGGCGGCTCCTCACCCGACGTAGTTCGGATCCCGGCGGACTTCGGCTTTCCGGCCGAGCGACTGCCCAGAGCAACCAAGGCTGCCAACGTGTCCCTCGCTGAGCCCACGGACGAAGTCGGGGGGTCGGCGGAGTGTGTCGTATGCTCGGGCCGGGTGCCTGTCGACGGAGTCCGGTCGACGACGAAACCCGCCACCCCGGCGCTGCCTCCCGGTGTCGTGTTGCGGGCGTGAGACCCTCTCTCCCCCATAGGCGGGATTCCTTTGCCACCCCCTGCGTCGCCACCCCCATCCCCTCCGCTTCCAGGTGACACCCCCCCAGAACAACTGTCCGGCCCACTGAGAGGGGGCACTTTCCAATCCACCACGCCCTTCGACGGACTCGTGTCGAGCTTGTACTAGTCCTCCGTCAATTCCAACCAGCACTTGTCCTGAAGCTCGTTGAACAGTCGACCGGCAGTGGAAATGAGGGACAGGTTGTCGATTGCTAAAGTGTTATTTTTTATCGTCACTTTCTGGAGGACGGAAATCCTCGCGAGGTGCAGGAAGTTGGACTTCGACTCGCGTGGGAATGACACCCATCCCGCGCCCGGGATTGCCACGACCATGACCCACTCGCCATTTCGTATCGCTGGCTGGATGACTCCCGGATGCCAAACCATGTCATGGCCCCAGTCCAGCTCATGTGAATGACGTTGCGGTTCAAGCAGGAAGTGGATGTTGTCATCCTTCCAAGACGGATGATCGGGCAGGACGACGGACTCGGGACGCAAAGCAAGCCAGAGCTCTAAGTCTCTCCAGCAACTTCATCGGCGTGGTGCCTGGCGCCGGTTTGGCCAATGGTGACACGAGGGCTACAGCGCTTGGTGATGGACCGGCCGACGAGGACGCTCGGCCGTGGTCCGCCAGAGGCGGGTCGTACTGCAGATCGATGCTCTCCGTGTCGCTCTCCTCCTCCTTCGCGTTGGCGACAAACTCCACACATATGGCTTCCTCGTCGTCAGTGGAGATCAGGGAAGTGTAACTAGCTAACTTGAACTGCTCCTCGGACTCCAAGAAATACAGCGACTGCAGCCTTTCGATAAACGTCTTCACGTTCAATCGGAAGGTGAAGTGGTAGTTGTTGAGCAGTGCCAACATGTGGTCCTTCCGGCAGATGTACTCGGTGTCAGCGTCCCTCCTCGGATGCGTTTGAAGGAACAAGAAATCGTATATCTTGTTCCTCTTCCTCTCGCTCAACTTGAACCACATATCCGTCTTGTCGCTCCACACCTTATCCCATGTTGGCCTCACGACCATGAACTCACAATTGTGCCCACCCGAATTGACCTTGCTTTTCACCACCTGCATCGTGAATTGCAAGAGGTCGGAGTTCCCTTCCATTGCGACAACGTGTCGGCCCCCTTCTTGCCAAGAAAATCAAGAAGACCGACGAATAGTGTCGAATTGCGTTCCATATCCCTGTAGACGATGCCCTGTCGTTCAGGCGCCACCAGCGACCAGTCGCAAGGCGTGAAAGGAATCTCGGACACATCCGTCTCGGTGACCCTCTTAGGTAATCGCACCGCAGCAGCGGCACCCCTAGGCAGGTTTCCCTCGTAGACCACGGACGTGTTGAAGCGCAGATCGTCACCCTTGAAGAGGATGTACGTGCGGTCTTCCTCCGTGTACAAATTGTTGCCAACGGGGAAGCTTTTTTTTTGCTGGACTCTCCGCACCCACTTCCCTTCCAACAGCTTGATGAAAGAAAGATGGTGCATGCTGGCGAGAAACGACAGGTTGTGCTGCCGCGACACAAAAACAACGAGAGTCCAATACGAGGGACACCACGTCTGAAGATAGGAATTCAAAGTCTCCCACGCTTGGAGCTTCCACAGTTTGAGGTCAACCGGCTCGCACAGATGGAGGACGAACGTGTGGCTCTTTGTGGCAGTCACTGCCTCCTTCAGCTTTGCGCCCCTGATGTCTGCCTCTAAAGGGTCGTTAGCGAACGGCGAGATGGATGTCACGTCCCCCGTGTCTTTCCATTTAATGTGAACGACGCCTTCGGCAAGTGCGACTTCCCGGCTCTTCAGTCTGCTTCCATTCAACACGGAGAGAACCTTGTTTCTCTAGTCGACGGACAAGTTCTTGTGGCCTGCCAACTTCTCCGTCACCTCAATCGAGTTGTCCTGGTCGCAACCCATGTACGGCGGACAATCCTTGAACAGCGCCGAGTCGGAAACGTGTTTCCTGCTGTTATCCCACAACTCGTCATTCAATCCCTGACCTTCATACTTCTTGAACACGACAGACCTCGATCTCAAGAAAGGGTACCTTTGGATCCCGTCCGCATCCGGCCTCTTCTCGTGCTTGAATTGGTAGTAATTCCACAACCGGACCAGCACGCGGTCGCACTTCACCAGCTGCACCACGTCCTGCACGCTGAGCTTTCCCAACTTCGCCAACGACGGGGAGCCGGCCTGGACCCAAACGACCTCGCAAGCAAGCACCTTTTTTAGAACGCGACACTTCTCATTGTCCGTGAGTGATTCCATTGTTTTCCAACAATGCGCGTCCGGATCTGGCACTTGCACGAACCAATCGCCCTCCTCTTTCTCCTTTTTGCCCTTTTTGTTCGACGGGTCCACGGGGACGTTGTACACCACCTCCGTTCCGCCCAATTTGTCGTTGTGGATGTAGGCGACCCCAGGCTTTACGTTTTTGACCTTCTTCTTTTTGACGATCCACTTCGCCCCGTCGTGGCTAAGCAATCTGCCCGTGTCCCATTTTTCGAAAAATTCCACGGCCAGCTTCCAGACATTTTCCCCGGCCATCGCCAGAGGTAAGTAAGAACGCAGGGCAACATTTTGTTTCTTAATGACCTCCTCTTCCTTTTGATCGGCGAGAAGCCACAAGCTCTTTTGAGGCGCCTTATGGAGCGCCGTTGTACAAAACTTATGGCAATCCCGGACCTGATCTTGTTTCTCGCTAGGGTTCCCCATCACAGCTCTTGGGCAGCCGTCATGCTTCCACTGCCATCGAATGTCTTTCATAGAAAGTTTCAACTGTCTGAAAGGTGCCTTGCGGTCCTTCTTGTTGTCCTGTGAACTAACAAGAAAATACCCTTCGAAGTCATCGCCGGAAAAATACACCATATGTGTCGGCCACTGCTCGAAATTGTACTTCTTCGCCACCTCGCTCCCGAGCAGTGACCTGGCTGCAGCCGCGTTGTGCTGCCCACACACCGCGTAGTAGTAGTATTCTCCCGCCAGCTCGTCCTTCCACTCCTCCGGCTTCAGACGTTGTGCCTTGGTCCCAGGAGTTGGTTTTTGAAGCCTCGATGGTGCGAGCTTGAAGACCGGCAACTCGTACGTCTGTTCTTTATTCTTGGGCAGCACACCATTTTGTCTAACTCCTTGAATTAGCAAAATTTTGGGCAGCACTCCCCATAGAAAAGAGGGTTTCCCAGAATTTTACTAAGCCATATATGAAATCTGGACAAGTCGAACCTTTTGAAAAGTTATAAATTTGATTAACTCCCCGAATTAGTAAAAATTAGGGCAGCACTTTGTTTAGAAAAGGAGGCTTTCCATATTTTTTTTAAGCCAGATATAGCAAAAAAACAAGTTTAGCTTTGACAAGCCAAACTTTTGACTAACTCCCTGCATTAGCGAAAATTAGGTCAGCACTCCGTTTAGAAAATGAGGCTTTCTAGATTTTTACTAAGCCAGATATAGCAAAAAAATAAGTCAAGCTTTGACAAGCCAAACTTTTGACTAACTCTCTGAATTAGCAAAAATTTGGGCAGCATTCCCTTTAGAAAGAAAGGCTTCCTATATTTTTACTAAGTCAGAAAGACAAGTCAAGTTTGGACAAGGCAAGATTTGACTAGCCCTTTGGATTTGTAAAAATTTCGGCAGCGCTTCCCGTAGAGAAAGCGGCTTGCAAAGGTTTATACAAAGCCAAGCATAAAAAAAGATCCCAGAAAATGCGAGAATTTACCTAGGTAAAAAAAACTTAGCTAAAAAAATGCAGGAATTGAAACTAACTTCTATGGCTCTAGCACGTGGTGAACGATTTAAGTAACTACCTATCAAACTGAAACTCAGACTAAGTACTAGCCTCACTCAGTCACATGAAGGCCAAACCACAAAAGTAAGTACTCTTACCTTCCCAAAGTCAACCTGAACAAACAATAGTTCATGATCTCTCAATAATTTAACCCTTTATACCCAGCTTACATAAGGCATAGGTCAGGCCGCCTAAACTTACATAACAACTCAACTTAGCCAGGCCTAGAGTCAGAATACCCAAACTTATAGAGCGTTCTAACTTGGTCAAATATACAAAAACAGAGGACACAACTACTATTTTTCTCTTCTTTGGGCACATGACTATACCACTCTAGTCGCCCTGGACTGTTTAAAGTATCCAAGTTATACATACTTATTTTTACCTTTGTCTTCTAAGGCTGCATATGACTTAACTAACTTAAGTTCAACCTGCCCCAGTTTACCATCAATTTTATTCTTACTTGTACTTTCTTCAAGTTGTGATACGGCTATAGTCAGACGACCTAAACTTATAGAACAGTCTGATTAGCTCATTCTTAGATAGAGTAGTAATAAGGTATAGCCAAGTTATAAACATTGGGTTCCAGCATGTGCGAGGCTTTGAGCCAGACCCTCTGAACTTACAGAAGGGTCTTAACTTTCTACCAGATTCGTTTCTATCTGAGCCATTAAGTCTGTGGCATCGAGTCAAACCCCCTGAACTTATAGAAGGGTCTGTCTCTTTGCCAAGATTAATTCTTCAAAATAAAGAGGAGGAAGAGACTGAGTCACATGAACTTACAGAACAGCTCGGTCTCCTCGTTCATAATTCAAAGAAACGAGTAAAATCCCAACGAAAACAAAGCAACCCAAGGCACAAAAACTTATTCAGCGTCGTGAGTCCTTGAAAATCAACCACAATCAAACCCCTCACAGGTCAGAGCAACCAGGCCATCTGAACTTACAGAACAGCCTGACCCCCCATACAAACCATATCACTGGATCTCCGCAAAATTATGGGGACATCCATGCCTTCAGAGTAACCAGACCCCCTAAACTTATAGAACGGTCTGACTTCTCCATGCAAAACCAAAATAAAACAAAGCACTGAAGTTCCCCAAACTTATAGGGACTCCCCAGCCTTAACGGCCCGTCAACCATCATGTAAGTCATACCCCCATCCTGCCTTTACCCAGATGCGCTTCTTTTCAACAGTGCGACTTCATACAACCAACAAAAGTTGAAACTGAGAATTGAGCAGACATTCCTTACTTAGTATTGTTCAGTGTCCTGAAAGTCAAACCAAAAAATAAAGTAAGGTTGCACGTCATATATTCAGTCAGAGATGCATCAGGTAATACAAATAGGGGCTATAGGGTGGGTGTATAGAGGGAAACGCAAATGTTATCTGTCAATTCCCTGCCTCTAGAGCCTCGCCTAGGCTCCGGCAGAGCTCCCGCAATCGGTGGGTAAACTCCCCACAGAGTCTTGATGCGGTCCTACAGGTTGCAGTCCCGCCTGCCACCTTCCCCTCAAAACAGGAGCAGACTTAAAGTAAGGAGGATAGGAAGAGATGGTTTTGAGACTCTCGGATACAAGAGGGGTGCTCTCAAGCTCACTGGAGAGGGCCTTGTTTCCTTCACTCGCCTGAGGGCCCCGCAATGGCAGCCAACGTATCAGCTTGGTCAAACCTCCGAAGTCAAACTGATGCAATAACCCCTCCTGACGATTTCCCTGCTCGCAATACTAACTCATTTTTTACTAGTAAGTCTGATATCCTCCTCGTCTTCACACCCCTCCTCAACCTTAACCACAACCAACCATCAACCGGTAATAATCCCCTAACGGCTCGCAGTAGCAACACTAAGTGACAGTTATAACAACCACAGCGGCTGCCGGCAGCAGATGCCCTCAACCGCAGTCTCCGACGGTTCGCAACCTTACATAACTGTACACAGTAATCAATGGAAGGCAATAATCATAGCCTGCGTGCCGTACGCGGCCAGGACCTATGCACAGTCAGCAACAGCCACAGTCTGCAGCCTCCGAGCCTACCTTCAACTCCCCTACTGCGCAGGGTGAGTGACTCACTAGTCAATCAGGTACGTCTGCAACCTCGCTGCACTCGCCCCCTTGTTCCTTCTTCCGCCTGGTACCATTGGGGAAACAACCAGCAAGCCAACTGCTATAGACAGGGTGGCCGGCTGTAAGCCGAGGCCCCAGGCCAGAGTAGCAATGAAGATCCGTACTTACAGGTAAGCTCGTACCTCCCCCTTTCTCCCTCCTGTGTTCGCCAATCACGGATCTCTTGCTCGGATCTCCCTATTCTTGCATATTCCTACCCACCCGCTCGGCTACCCCTCCACGAAGGACGAATCTTCGACTGTAGTCCAAGCGGTTTGTGCAACTTTCACACCCCCGATACCACGGCGTAGTCGGAACCACAATGCCACCTTTCTTTATTGCCCGCCATACATACCCTTGAAACCGAATCCCTACGGCCTCCTCTATTTCTCGACTGCACCTAGCACTGACCCCGGCCAGGTTCATTCCTCCTCGTTTTGCCTTTTGCCTCTCAGTCCGTCACTTTCCTTCTCGCTCGCAACCGAGCCGCCCTGCTCCACCTGCTCGGTACCTGTAGCCCCGTTGTCTTACCCCCCGCCCAACAATCGTAGTTGCCCTTGCCGATGCTCACCTCTCTTTGTTTGTACCCGGCGTGCTTTCACGTCCAGGTTCATTCATCCCTCCCCCGCTCTTCCGACATAGCCTCCATGCAAGTCCTTTCTTCTTGATTTTTTCTCTTACTCTCTCCCATTCTCACCTGACCCTTCCATTCGATTCGCCCGGGCCAAAACCCCGGGATCGCTCCTTCCTCTACCCAGATCGGTTCAGCGACGGGTGTATGCTCTATCTCCTTTCTTCCTCCCTCCATTCCGCCATAAGTCGCGCAGTATCTTTTTCTACTAACACCTTGTTTATCAATTCCATACTAAAACTAACCTCAGGTTTAGGGTCGCCCGCCCCGAAAAGCCCTAGTTAGCACCTTACCTCGCCCGATTCCGTACAGGATCGGGCATGGTATCATATCCTTACTCCGGCCATATCCGTTTTCTCCGTTGCCTCCTCGGGGCACACTTTCTTCACTAACTCCTCTTTCTAATCGCTTTCTGAATAAACTAATCCAAAAATCAGGGCCGCCCACCTCGAAAACCCCGATATCCACCTCTTACTTGCCCGCTCCCGCGAAGCTTCCCACAAGTCGCGTTCTTCTCGTTGCACCCAGCTCGCTTTTCCGCCATCATCCGCTTCCTTTCCTCGGCGTGCACCTATAGCAGTTCCCCATCCCGATTCTTTCACAGCCCAGTCGGCCTCGTTCCTGCTTCTCTCGTTCCGACAGTGCCCAATCCCTCTCGCTCGCTCGATTAACGCAGCTTAGCCTGATATCCGGTCCTACTGCGTCCGGATTCGACAGGAGGCGACAACTGGGGAGGGAAAAAAAAAAAAAATAGAGCGCCGATGCGTTTCCCTGCTTTACGCATATCGACCTGGCGCACGGGCCATGCTAATCTTCACCAAAACATTCAAATTTTGACGGATGTCTCGAAGGACTTCCCCCGCTGTCGGCGCCTTTTGGCGCTTTCAAAAGTCGTTCGGGTTCGCCTTAGCCTCCCTCACTACGTGCGAGCCCGCCGTCCAGATTCACAACACTTCATGCTACCTCGCTTCCTAGTCTTTAACGCCCGTCGCCTCTCCGCTCCCCCATGCGCAACTCCGATGAGCTTTTCTTAACTGGTGTGGCTGCAACCCCGACCCCGCTCCTCTTCTCGATACATTCTGGCGGAGAATCCCGCCAGGCTCAGTCCTCACCTGTTTCATTCCCGTCGCTCACGTTTCCGGTGCCTCTTGTCAAGGTCAGCGGTGCTCGATAGTGGTCGTCCTCTTCGCGCTTTTGTGAAGACTACCTGACGGGTCCTACTGTGTTTTCGCGTCCACATATGGGCGCGACAATAATAATAACTAAATAAACTTAGAAATAATATATATATATATATATATATAATAAAAAAATAAAAATGAGCAGTAGTCGGGCAGGGACCACGGCACCCCTCTCAGCCTGCCCGTTAGCCCCACACTCGGCCCCGCGGCAGCAAAAGGCGAGGTGGATAGTCCCATAGGTCCATTAACCCCTCAAGCCTTTTCGCCATGCTCTTCCGCTCCCTTGCCGCATGCTGTTGGCCTCGATCCCTGCGCCTGCTGCGTACCAGTCCGATGCTATAACCTATAGGGCTAAGCCCAAGCCTGGTACTAACAGGCCTGACTCACCTAATAAAGGGGTAGCCCCCGGCCTTTTGGGGCCAAAGGAGCCACCCTATGCCATTTCCTAACCCATACTCACACACATGACCACAAAGGCGCCGCGCCAACCTCCCGGCTGTGCCGCGGCTACCCTTACCCGGCCGAATCCATCAGGTCCTATCATCTGGATGTCGCGTAAAGCCACACTCACTCACTGACCCGTCCATCGTTCCACGCGGAACCAGATAAAAGCGCCCAAAGGTTAGCCAACTTAGTCAAAACAAACAATTGTTATAATGGAGCGCTCCGACCGATGTCCGTGCCACGTCTGCTAGTGTAACCAAAGGAAGGAAAAATCACGCGCGCCTCAAGCTTGCGCGCCCATGCACTCTTTTACTCTCGTCAACCATCTAGTCAACATAAATTACGGACGCGGCCGCGCCTAGCGCGACATACTTAAACTTTAAACCAAACTGCTTTCTGTTGTTTGCAAAGACCAGGGCGGATACCCTTGTAAGGGTATTCGCACAGACAGCTTACCGGACCATATTAAGCGACATCCCCGTCTCTTCGCAGGATCAAAAAGTTATCAGTTCAATCACAATCCCAAAGTGTTGACGAGCAGGGTACCAATCCGATTAACCGACAGACCCAGGGTTGAGGCCTCCAATAATCCATGCCAAACACAACTTTATGCTGCCCGGATTGTAATATGGGTCTCCGTCGCCCTGACACTCGGACGTCGGGATACTCCTCACTGTACTACAGCATAAGCTCCATTGGATCTCTCATTGTCCCCTTCCCTGTGCCCTAGACAACCGGTGGCTTTTCGTTGTGTGCCCCTAGCCCTTTTCCTTGAAACTAAGTCGTGACTAGGCACGCGGGCCCTAACCGAGACCTTCGAAGGCATTCTCTCGCCTTCCTCTAAAAAATCTTCACATTTAACATACGTAGCCGTACCACATAGACTCTCACATAAGCTCTCCTGCAGTCTAGTACAGGAAGACCAGGTCTCCATCTTGGCCCACCATTGTCTGGGTGATCATTCCAGATCTCACATAAGCTCTCATGCAGTCTAGTACAGGAAGACCTGGTCTCCATCTTGGCCCACCATTGTCTGGGTGATCATTCCAGATCGACGGCCCACTGCATTGTTATTTCAGCGGTAGTGCCTTCGCGGGTTGCGCTACAATAGGCTGTTCCTGATTAAGATTCGTATGACTCGACTCTTATCCCACGCCTTTCCGCAGGAGAAAAACCCTCCTAGGCGTTCACGCCCCTTTTTGTCTTTACTCCCTTGGCCAGACGCAGACCTTTTGCTTAGGTTGTGCCAAACAGCGGCCGACACCAAGGGTTGCGCCTTAGTGATGCTAGTTATACCCCTAGCTGGGTCGTCTTATAAATGTCCAAGATTAGCACAAATGGTCAGGCCGTGTGTCGCAATAATACAAGCCTACTGCGGGACTACGCATAGACCTGTCGCACATAAAAGGTATTTATCAGTTCCTCTGTGGGACAACACAGGGGAAGCACGACAACCTCTCAATAATCACAAAACAAAAATCACCGCCTGGTTCACAAGGCCGTGACCTCCCAGCTTGATCAGAGCAAGAAAGTCACACATCTTGATGATATCTCCTAAAGCACACCATTTGCGACATCCAAAAATTTCACCAATAGTCAAGCAAAATTTGGTCCCTCTCGCCAGTCTTTTATTATTTAAAGTCAACCTTCCATTTATCAATCTATATAACCACCTTATTTATAGAGGAGGTCTTACTTTTAATAGGTCTCTCAGTCATCCCTCTCTTACTAAGATGAACTCTCTCGCGACCTTCTCTTTAACGCATCTTCCCTCTCTGAAGGTGCGTCTTCCAAATAGATAATGAACAACCTTTCCATTCACAGGTGTCCCACTCATCATATACTCCATATAAAAAGACCGACTTGTGGGTCTTCTGTACAGTTCAATGATTGAATACTCACCATACAAATATTCAGGATCCTCACATCCTTTCACAAGACAGATTGCACTTCCTTGCCTTATACTCGGCCCTCTCATCCGCCCGAGGGCAGGTCGCATGAGTATACCGGCGAGTAGACAGTTCACATTCATCCAGATTTATAAAGTACAACATACATCAAGCATTTTCTCGGACATATTTCACACCAAGCCATCATCTATCAAAACAGGATCACACAAGTGAGTGTTAGAGTGATCGTCATATACAACAAGTAGTCCCCAAAAAAAGGTCTCGATATAATGTACACTCAAGGATAAAATACCCCGTACAAAAAAGAAATATCTCCATACTGTGACTCACTCAACTCACTCAATCCACACTCACACTGGTATCCTCCTCAAAGTACAAGTTGGGTCCGTCTGTCGAAAATCAGGGTGTAAGCCAACTAAGTATGTACACGCTCATCTACCATATCCCGGTCCTCAAGAAACCCTACCCATACTGCCTGACAACAGCAAACAACACCTACGTTTACAGAATGTCATCCAATCCTGACTCTAGTCCTACATGCAACATGTCAACCATATAGGTAACTCAGTCCTGATCGCTCATCTCCTCCTGGTTTTACCTATATAGCTGAGCCCTACCCCCATTTGCTGATCTCTCTACTCTCCTACCCTGCCTATCAAACATCCTGCCTCCTTCCTCTGTAACCTTTCCTTCAGCCTTGTCCTTTAGGAACTTAGGACATTGCAAGGCTTGATGCCCCTCCTTTGTACAGAAGAAGCAGGACGTGTCGAACCACTTCCTGGACCTCTTATTTCCTCTCTGAGACCCTGGCGATGATGGCGCTTCGCTGGCCTCCCTGCTCAGCTCATGGCTCTGAGGCATATCCAAGGGCTCCTCTCGTGCCTCCACCTCCTGGGTACTCGGTCCTGGTCGGTCCTCAATCCCCTCTGGCCCATACTCGGGCGTGCCCAACCTCTGGAGCCCGCCCTCGATGATACCATCAGCCTCAATCCTCATTTCCCTCTCAAGAGACTCCTCTATCCTCCGCTCGGGTGAAAACAAACTCGCCTCCTCCTGCATCGTGTGCACCGCCTCAATGAGCACGTCCATAGATCCCTCTGCTGAGCCCTGAGTCGGCTCACTGCTGGATGGTGGTAATCCCTCCTCAACTACCAAAGGTATGAGTGGGTCTGCCGCTGCTATAGGTAGCGTCGCGAGCTCAGTAGGGGCTCTGAACTTAAAGGCCTCTCTCTCTGCCTCCCTCTGGGCTCTCGCTTCCTCTGGCTCCAGGATAACTCTCCCCATAGGTGGCTCCTGGCGAGTCTCTGCTGCAGATGGCTGTCCTGGCAAACCATGTCCTGGCTGCCTCTGCTCTCCCTGTCGGCTGCTCTCTGGCTTGTCCACCTCTCCCTAAGATCGCTGCCTCAGGCTCTCAATGATAGTTGCCTGACAATGCCCCGAGTTCTTGGATTTCCACCTCCATAGCCTCCAAACGTACCCCATGGCCTGCTTCCTTTATCTTCTTTCCTGCCAGATCGCTCTCCAATAACAAGTGCCGGTCAAAAAAATTGCCTTGGCTTGAAACTTGATTTTGCCATCCAACCTTTCTTCCGCCTTCCTTGCCACCCCGAACCCGACTCTGACTGGCGAAGGAAGCTCCTCTCCTCTCTGCTCCCAGAAGTCCCTCCACATCTCAGGGATCTCCGGAGCCCTAGCTGGCGCGCTGGGTGGCTGCCCTGGGAGCGCTCATGCTGCCTCCGATCTCTGCCTCTCCTCGTGCTGCTCCGAAAGCTCCCCCGTTGCCTCCAAGCTCTGCCTCTCTTGCCATATCTCGTTTATCCTCCTGGTTCTTCTCGCCCCCTTTTCCTCTGCTGTCTCTCCAGCTGGCGCCCTTTCCCTCGTGCGGAGGTCAACCCTCTTCGGGATCTCTGCCTCCATCTCCTTCTCGGGCTGGCACGACTCACTGCGTGGCTCTGCACGTGTTGGCTCTTCCAGGTCTGGGTGGTCTAGGGCATGAGCTGCTAGGTGTCTATCAATGAGGGTCAAGGCTTCTCTCCTTACAGCTGCTCTTTCTCTCCTCCTTTCTGCTCTCCCTTCTTGCGAAGGAGCCTTTTCTGATGAAGGTAATGGGGTCTCCTCTCTCAGCAATCTCTCCCCTGCCTGGTGAGTGTTCCACTGTGCATCCCCGAGTCTCAAACCCACCGCTGGTGTCTGAGGGGGCGTGTCCTCTCCAACCTCGATCACTTCCTTCCCTGCACGCCTCTCCTCATCGCCTAGCCCTCTCTCTCGCTGAGTATCCTGGACCTCCTTCTGTAGCACCTCCTCTCGTGGCTCCTCCTCTGCCTGCTCTCCATGCTCTTCACCCTTGCGTGCTGGGGACCTCCTCAATTCACCTTCGGCAAACCGATGGAACTCCACTGGTCCCAACCCACACTCAGGGTATGCGTCTCGCTCCTCAGCGTCTGGCTCTGGCTCCTCCTCTCTCCTAGATAGGGCCTTTCGTCCTCCTCGAGACGGTCTCACCTCCTTGGGCTCAGGGTCCCTTTGCCTCTGACTCCTCTGATGCCTCTCAACTCTGGGCGGAGGGGGCTCTGGCCGTCGAAAGGTCTCCCTCAGATGTGCCCTGTAGCTCTCCCAGTCCCGGGCCATGCTTCTGACTTGGTTAGCCAGTGGCCTTCCCGCCTTCCTGGTCCAGAGTGGAAGCGTCTGCATCCAATCATCTCTCAGTATACCCTGCCCCTACATGAGCCACTCAAACGCGGGGATGAAGTCCGACACATTTCCAATCTCCAGGCGGATCGGCCTGCCATCAGGTCCCACAGGCGAGGGTCGCAGCTCCTGCATCCTCCACTCCACCTCTGATCTCGTCGTCCCCTCTCTATGGATCCACGCGACGGGCTCCTCGAACCTGCCTGCTCCCCTCAGTCTCTCAATTGCCTGGGCCACGGTCCAGCCCATATGCCTTGCATGATCCCAAAAACCATCCAGGAATAGCTCGATGTCCCCATCATCGTATACCAGAGTACTCTGTCGATAGTGAGGCCCATGCTGCTCATATCCTCCTGATGCTCCCAACGGCCTCCGAGGCGGCCGTGTCCCCCTCCCTCCTCTTGGCATGGCTGTCTTCGTAAAGTCAGACCTGCACAACAGGCGAAAGGAGATAACAAACACACATAGGGGTAAGCAAATAGGTGACAATCAAGCAAGCTCAAACCAGACCATACTCATGCAGCATACAACCTATCTGACCTACATAACCTATCGCTTCTATTCTAGAGGTAGTCAGATCGTCTCTCTTACCCCTTCTCTCGCCACAAATTTCTTCAATCGCGTTCCAAATACCCAATCCTTCCACTCAGTCTCATTCAACTCCTCAATCTGGTACGCTCCGAAGTCTCCAACCCGTACGATCCCGTAGCGACCTAACCACCTTTTATCAAGTTTCCTTGACCACTGCTTTTCCAGCGATGAATCGTAGAGAAGCACGACGTCCCCAACTTCTACAGGTACTTTCCTCACCCAAGCAAACTGATCCCATCGAGTCTTATCATCCATTATACGACTTCTAGCCACATGATCGGACGCTTCTTGGATCCTTTCCTCTATCGCTCCTATCTGTCGCGCCCGAATGTCGAGCAATTCCTCAAAGGACAGGTAAACTTCCAGATCCTGGCGCCTCAAGTCTTGAGAAAGCTTTCAATAGGGAAGGTGGCGTGTCGTCCACACCACAACGTCGCAGGTGCGTACTTGGTGGATCTATTTACTGTGATGTTCTCGACAAAGAATGCCGCCCTTAGGTATCTTGGCCATTGATTAGGTCTCTCTTCGGTCCACTTAGCCATTAGACTCGTAATGGTACTGTGCCCTCTTTCCACCAGAGCGTTCGCCTCAGGGTGCACGGCCGTAATGTAGTTAGCTACTACACCATACCTTGATAACAACTCCTGCACCTCCTGGCAAGTAAATTCCGATCCTCTGTCCATTACGAATTCCCTGACGAAAGGATAATGCAGGTAGTACTCCTCGATGCAGCTCACCAAGACTGAACTAGTCTAGGTACGAATGGCACATCCGTCTACAAAGCCAGAAAGGTTATCGCGCGCATCGAAGATGTATTTATAGCCCTGATCCCCAAGCGCCATGAAAAGTAGGTCGAGATGCACTACAGCCCCTACCTCTCGCTCTAACCTTGGATGCAGCGGCTCTCCTTGCCTCAAACGGGATCTCTCTTGCCAGGGTACGCAGGATCGACGGAATTTTCCGACCATGTCCATCAACCCATCCCAGTAGTACAGCTCACTTATCTTGGCATACGTGGCTTGTACCCCTCGATGCCCTCCTGCAATGCCATCATGAAGTGCTGCTACGACGTCAATCTGGCGGTTCCTTCCGCAGACGACTTTCAGGGGATTCCCCACTTCTCTTTTTACGAAAAGGTGACCGTCTCGCACTAAGTAGCGCTGCAGCATCCTCTGAGCTTTATCGCTTGCATCCCTTAGCCGCATCTCGCAAGACAAGAGAAGCCCCAACTCTAGGTAAATCCCATCATACTCTTCTACGCAAAGGCCTCCTTAATCTCCCCCTCCTCGAACTCGTCGTCCTGGCTCTCGGGCACTTTGTCCACATTCACTGCCGGGTTCAACGAGCCTGACTGGTCGAGGCTTTCCTGGAATAGCGTGTTGACGAGGAGATACATTCCTCCCATCAGATCCTCATGCCGTTCTGCTTGGCCTGGTCCTTCCTCGATCGTTCTTATGTCTTCCACCAGACTATGCGAACTAGTCAGCGCCAGCTCCATCATCCACTGAACATCCTTACCTCCCCAAGGATCTTCTTCTTCAAAGGGTTTGAGGACTAGCTCAGCCCTCCTTTCATATCCGCTTGGCGCTTGCCACATAGGATAACCCACACTGTTAGGCACTCATGGCGACCACTTGTTGATATGGAGATGGACATCTTCCCCCTGATCCAGGAATCCATCAACTGGGGGCGTATTCTCCACTCCCTCTCCTTCCTGTTTATCCCAGTTGATCCGACTCTGCCCGTCTGCCCCGTTCTTGCTGCCAGGAATCCGCTCCAACTCGAAGTTAAACATCTCGATGCACGAAAGCCATCTGGCAACCGTCGGATCCGATGGAACGTAATTCCTCAGAGAATAGGCCAGGGCGGTCGGGTCCACTCTCAAAATAAACCTCCTGCCGAAGATGTAGTTCCGGAAGATCCGTAGACAGTGGAGGACAGCAAGGGTCTCCCTTTTAAACTGAGAGTAGTTTCTTTCTGTCATACATAGAGTCCATTTCTCAAATCGCAAGGGCCTTTCCTTTCCTTCCACGTCTGCCTGAATCAGAACTTCTCCTAAGGCAGTTGGCCCCGCATCTGTTTCAACAATGAAGGGTCGCGTTTCCGTGGCATCATAATCTTGCGCTCCTAACACCAACCCTCCCTCTCGAAATTCCTCTTTCATTCTGGCCACTACCTCTTCTTACTCTTCACCCCAAACCCATTCTTGATCCTGACGGACTAACTTCCTCAGGTGCTCAGTCTTAGTGGCGAAGTTCTTGACGAAGGCATTCCAAAATCCACACATACTAAGGAAGCTTCTGACATCAGTTATTGAGTGGAAAGGAACTGGTCACTCAGTAATCTTGTCCGTCTTTTTCACATCCGTCTTCGGCCCCTCTCGCTGTAGACGAACCCCAAGATAGTCGCTTCCCTCATGCAGTGTCTGGCGCTCGTTGTGAGGTTATGCTCCTCGAGCAGGCTCAAAACCTTATCGAGGTCCTGGATGTGTTTCCAAACAAAGCGCCTTACCCCTGGCGAGACTTCGTCGCTCTCCTTCACTGCCGGCCCCTTCACTGTCAAATCATCGATGTATGGCTATGTGATATGAGGGCTGACTGACTGCATAACACGAATCATGGCCCGTTCGACCATTGCTACCGCGTTGGTCCACCCTTGTGGGGCCACGTTCATGTGGATTAATCCTCGTGGCGTGTGCATAGCCGTCACCGACCTATCCGACAGGTAGACTGAAAATTGATTATATCCTGAGTAAAGGTCTATAAGTGAGATTATAGGCCTTCCAGCACAGGATTCTGACAGAGCATCCGCATTTGGCAGTCCTCCAGTATCCCACACAGTTACCGCATTCAGTCTTTGTAAATCGTGCACCCACCGCAGCGTCCCGTTAGGTTTGATGAAGAAAAACCACGGGGACGCATACGGCCCACTCGAATAATCGGCAACGTGCGTTCGTATCTTGCCGTCGAGGTAATCCACCACCTTCTTTTCCACGTCAGGATTAGGATATCTCGCCCCTCTCATGTTCCAGGGTTCATGTGGCACGGTGTGGATACGTATCATAGGTATCTTGTCCACATCCAGCCTGCCGCGCTCGTCGTCACTAAACGCATTGGCGCGATGCCTCCTCTTCATTAACTCCACCATCAACGTTCGCTTCTGAGGGAGTAGGAAGTCAGGTTCTCCTGTAATCAACCTCCCCTCATTCCCTTCGTTGATACGACATGGTCCTGCTAGAGCACTCTCCCTCATTCGCCGTATCAACCCTCGTTCCCTCTCGTAGTATGCTTCCTCGTCTTCCGTAACGAGGACGGGAACTGGGCGGCATTTCTTGTCTACCATCTTGTACCACCTTTGAGAACCTTGCTTGAGCCGTTCCCTAAAAAAGGCCGACTCACAGATTGCGCTTATGCGGACGCAGGGTTTCTTCTTCCGTCCGGAAGACGGTATACCAACTCCAATCTCCCAGCCTCAGGGCATTTCAGAACTTGCTCCCTCAAGGCCTGGATGGCGTCCGGATCCGCCATCTCATGTACGGCCACCAAATCCATGGCCTTTCCGACGTCCAATAGGCTAAGGGAAAATGCGTTCACCTCTTCTTCTCCTTCCGGCTCCGCCCGAAGTCTTCGGCGCTCGCCCTCCGATTCTTCGATCGTGAAGGATCCTGGGTTGGGCCGGTTCCTTATAGTTCTTGGTCCTGTATTTCTGCAGGTAATTCTGTCGTAACTCCCGCAAGCAGGGTCACATAGGAGGAGGATCAGAGTATCGTCATGCTTGTTGAACATCACGGTTTCTGTTCTACTAAAAATGACCTCCCAAGGAGGATCCCATGGTCCACGTCCGGCATGATGAAGAAGCAAACTCGGGCCTTCACCTTTCCAACCTCGATGAGTACATTCGAGGCTGTCCCACAAAACACGGCCTTGCAGCTGGCAGCGTGCAAAATACCGCAGTCAGATCGGTCTATGTCTAGCCCGAATCTGATAGCATCCTCCTCCCAGATGATGTCCATTTCCGCCCCGGTATCCACCATTGCTGCACATTTAAAGTTTTTCACTACTAAATCCACCATGCCGTAGGCCACACACTTCCAATCCATTTTCGTGCCCGACTCCGCCCACTCTGCCTCCTTGGGTAGGATCGTACCCAGATGAACATTGGGCACCGCGCACCGCGACAACCTCCCTTTCAATTCATCGCGGAGTCGCGGGGCTGACGCTAGGATTTCCTTCAGGGTCATGAGCTCATTATACCCTTCCAGCAGCCGGTCAATCACTTTCTCTACATCAAATCCCTCCTCCAACCGAACCGCGTATTTCTTCTTTTTGGGTGGTCCGTCAGGTATAACCGGCTCGGCCTCTCCCCTGGTCCCCTTTTTCCTTGCCCGTTGCGCCGCTCTCTGATCCTCTTCTCAGCGCAGCCTCTCGTCTTCTTCTTCTTCATCATCGTCGTCCTCCACTTCCACGGCCTCTTTCCTTTTTCCTGGTTCGGGCTCCCTCCTTGGAGGCTCTTGGCTGGCACTGGCCTTGGCTTGATTCCTCGTTCGCGCTGCTTGTGTCAACCGGGCCTGCGGGGTGAGGGATCTCCCCATCACCCCCGACTGTGGGCTTGACCCTACCACATTTACTCCGGGTCGCCCAGGCGCTGATTCCGGGCCGGAGTTGTACAGGAACACCTTAGGGATGCTAGACTTCCATTCCCTCACCTCCTCAAAGAGGCCTACCAACTTCTGTTGGTACCTCCTTATCTTATCTAGCAGGTCCTCCTTTTCCCCAATAGGACGGATGGCGATTCCATCCTCCTTTCCTCGTCTTCATCATCCGATTCGATGATTATAGGCTCTTCCCTCTTACTTCCTGGACGTGGTCCTTGAGTCACCTCCTCGTCGCTCCCCACTTCCTCTACCCCAATCGGTGGTTTCTCCTTTTCCTGCCATAGCCTGAACGTGGCAGGGGGTGGCAGCCCGGCTGCCGCCCTTCGTTGGGCCTCCGCTCTCACTCCTCCAAGCCTTCTATCAATGGCCTCCCCAAACTGATCGTAAATGTTCCCATCCATAGTGGAGGAGATCAGCCCGCTTCTTTCGTCTTCTCGTCTTATGTTACAGAACCTTATGGTGTGGCCTTGCTGGTCACAATGCTGGCAAATGGCTGTCCTCCAGTCAAAATGGGGTCTTCCATACCCCTGACTTCCCTGATCCCCCTGGCCTTGATACCCCTGGTCTTGGTACCCTTGGCCTTGATTCCCTTGGCCTTGGTACCCCTGGCCTTGGTTTCCTCGGCCTTGACTATTCTGTTGTCCTCCCCTTCCGCCGCCATTCCTGCCTCGCCCCCTTCCTCCACCCCTCCCTCCATTGCCTTGATTGCCCTGCCCCTGGTTCCTCCCTCCAGCCACGCTTCCTTGTGAACTGGGAGCAGGTGACGGCGGCGGGGCCACAGGCTGGGCCTGGGCTGCGGGGTAGATAGGTGGCGGCATACTCATTTGTGGTCCGGCTACTGGCGGCGGGCTACCCCATGGCACAATTGCATTGATCACCGGCCAGGGCCACTGTCCGTAGGAGGGTGCCCCTCCTTGCGAGGGGCCCACACTAAACAAGGGCGCTGCCGCACTTGGAGAAGTTGTCGCCACTGCCTGAGGTGCCTGCGCTTTTCCTGATCCCTGTCCGCCCTGCGCCAAGTTACGCACTTTGCGCTGGACCTTCGTCAGGTGCTGCGGCACCGGCTCTACCTCTTCCCAAAGCTCCTCCTGAACAGCCTCCTTTACCACCGGCTCCTTTCCTTTTACTCGGACAGCCGTCACTACCCTCCTCTGCACCACCGGCTCTGTCGCATACCCGAGCTATGCCAATACGTCTGTAATAATCCTTGTTACCCCCGGGGTCCTAAAAGCGGTCGCATATCTTTCCTTTCTCTTCTGCCTTTGCAAGCGTACCTGACGTTGCTCCACCTGGTTCAAACATCCAACTTCCACCCCTCTGTCAATGGTGGCCCAGGTGAGCTTGGTGCTACCTCCTCCATGTCTTGTTAACTCACGGCCTCCGATGTCGTGAGTAGCCCCAGAAAAAAGACGCACTGCGCCTCCTCTGAAATCCCATGGACCTTCGGTGCCTTTTTCTTGAACTCCTCGACAAAGGCCCCTATCGTCGTAAAATCCTCCTTGTTCATCGCCTCCAGGTCCGCGGTGGTCAGCAATCCATCTCCCAGGTGGTACTTCCTTTGCATCCCCTCCTTGAACCTTTCCCAGCCACCTTGGGCCGCATCTATAACTTTCTTCACCTCTTGATGGTAGCTGCGGAGGACATACTAGAGGATGCGTTGAAACTTCACAACATCCGACCGCCCAACCAAAGCTTGTTCTACCCGCTCCAGCCATTCTGAGACTCTTTCTCCACAAAAATGAAACGTGTTGACCTTAGGGATATTGCTCGGGTTCCTTTCATGCCGGTCAATGGCCACGATGAGGTCATCGAGTGTCAAGCCCTTCTTGGGAGCACCCGATGCGGCGCAAGTTTCAGGCATCTTGACTGCCTCTTCTTTTCAAGATTCCTGACAAGAGAAAAACAAGCATATTCCCTTGTTCAACATTACACCTTGACCAGTCTAATTCACCGGCTTTTACCTAACTCTTACTACATACTTTACTGAATACTAGCACAGTCGCCCCTCATAATTTCCCCTAACTCGAGCAGGTAAACTTTCTCATCTACACTTAGTCACTCATTATTTTTTTTCCTTACCTTCTCATCATTTTTTTATACCTTTTCTCATTCATTTCTCATACCCTGATGTCGTTCCACCAGGGAGAACGGTAGGCTTTCCGTTATCCTCGGCAATGGCGCCACCTGTTGAGCGCATCGGTCCGGCACCGCACCAGGGCAGCGCGGGACCCTCCCGGCCGCGTCACGCATGAGTTGGTTAAAAATCTTTTGTCGCAATGTAAATGGAGCTTCCTTAAGCCGCTCCGGCCAAGTGCGTCAGCCATACCTCTCGCGAGCCCGTACGACACGATAGGGCCTACGCGAGGCACAACCTACCTTCACCTTACGGGAGCTATCACCTCCCTTCGGTGGGCGTATCCCCGCCGAGCTACCAGTCCACAGTACGAAAGTTAATCAGTTGCAATCGCAGAGGTGGATTAGTCGAGGGCGTTTCTCGTTCGCTGTAGCATAGGGGGTACGCGCGGTAATACGCCTCTATTGAACTCGCACGTGAACCGACATCATGGGGGGCTGAGGTCCCGAGCGCGACTCGTCGTCGGTCGACTATGACGCATCCCACACACCACGCGCACACCACTTTACGAACAAAAAAATAAAACCCACACACACACATACGAGATAACACAATATAAACAACGCGACAACGCTCCTAGCCCATCGGTAGTCGCCCCATCACTCATGATACGGAAATCGGATAGGCGTCGCGCGCGAGACTTAATATAAATTCGTGCGGACACAAGGTTATCGCATATCAACTCGCAATGCAAACGTGCGCAAGCAGTCGCAATGAAGGCGTACTATGTGGTACTCATGCTCACGCGATCCCTGTTAATCACGAGGGTCGTGTTCGACACTCAAGTGTCGGCTGACACGCGCCTTGAGGGTTAATCTCTCGACGCTCGACAACATCCATGCGCGGTTGAAGACCACACCCTCTTCTGCGTCCTGTGTAGAGGGGTTGAGTAGACAGCTTTAAGCTGTCGTGGCGGTCGAACATCAAGGGGTTTGACTTTGACGGCTGCCACGGACTATAACGTTCAAGTATAAAAACTCCAAAAAGCAAACGATAAGGAATGGGCCGAAGGTTCCCCGCCTAGTAAACAAAATCATACCCATGGTGTACCCTCCCTTTTTTCGCGCGGCGTTGGTGGCCTGTAGCAATCTCAAAGATTTGCCCATATGTGTCGGTTCCTTTGTAATCCCATAACTCTTTACACACTAGCGCGACAAAACGTCGCGCGTGGGATTTTAATATAAAGTCGCGCCACCGAGGGCCTATCACATACCAACCCGCAATGCAGGTGTACGCATGCAGTCGCAACGATGACGTATTATGTAGTGTCCACAATCAAGCGGTCCCTCGTGCATCCAAGCGCAGCTTATGACACTCAAGTATCAGAGTCGAAGTGTCGTGAGGGTCTGATCCTTCACGACATTGCACGACTGAAAGAATAGTCGTGCGACCGCCACGAGACCTCCGGCCTTTGGTCTGAGCGTCTCGGTAGGTAAGGCAAATAGGCTCTGCGTGAGGGAAAACCCCTTCCCTGCAGAGCCTAGGGCTTGGGATGTCCTGGACAAGGACCTCGAATCCTGGCCCAGGACCAACGTCCGACTAAGAAAAATCCTTAAGAAGTAAAACCAATAAAGGGAAGGGTCT